TTTTGTTTGCAGTGTGGGTCAGGCGTGCACCCCTTTGAGAGACACCCGCTTGGAGGATTCCAGAAACAGTCTCCTGCAGCCAGAGAATTGAGTGCACAGCCCTAGTCCACTGCCAAGAGGGAGGGGGCAAAGAAAGATTTGGAGCTTGCATTAGCTGGGAGAAAGCCTGCAATGGCTTCAGAGAAAAGGCAGAAACAAAGGCCTGAGAGAGGCTTTTCATACCCTGCATTAAAGTTAAAATCTAATTTAGATGAAAATGGATGCCTAGAAATTAAATATGCGCTCATGCGGTTTTCGTCGTTAAGTCTTATATCCCATAACGATAACTTTAACAAATTTATTCCCTTGGCTTGAAAATAAAGATGCTTTTTTGAAATTTGATTTTGTTGTTTTACAAATTGTTTTAGCTTTGTGAACAGTACAAACTCCATTTCTGATCTGCCTCAAACAAAAATAGAGCATTAAAGTGTTTAAGATTCAATCAAAGGCTTGCTGCGAGTAGCACAATATTAAAATAACAAAAATCAATTCAATTTTTATTTTGAACATGATTTGTCACAAATAGCATTCTAATAGATAACGCTGATTATATGGTAGCAAATGTAATTTATATATCCCGAGCACTGGGCTTTTGTCAGAGTCATCATTAAGGAATTTGACACGTATGCAGGAGAACAATAAATGTCAACTGAAATATATACCAGCTAGATATAAATGGGATGCTGAAATGTGTGAGGCTGGTACACACTATACTTATAGGTAATAATATGTAGTCTAAAGTAGTTTGGGTTTTCAAACAGGAACTCTTTTTATGTTGTCATTTAAAATATCTCATATTTCTGAAGGTCAGGAATAAATGGGGCTGTTAGCATTAAAAGCTAGTGAAAGAGAAAGTAATTTGTTATTCATTTAACATAACATTTTATGAAATAGCTTTGTAAAGTATTCATTTTTCCCCCCCACAGAGGCTGAGAAGATAGGATGAAGATGCCTGATTCTCAGAAGATGACTTTTTAAATCACACTTTTGTTACCATTAACATCTTGATTCTGTAAAGACTTTGCGGAATTAGGTGTCTTGTGGCTGGGCAGGTTAGTGCTATGAAATACAGTTGTGTACATAACTGCAGGCTCTGGTGGTCCAGCAGGGTTCTGTCCAGGTTTGCATTAGTAGCACCATTTGCTACAGGGATGACAGGGAAACACCACGGACAAGTGACAAGGCTGCCAGGAAGTGAGGATGGAGGGTTTGTTGTGACAGACATGGGCCCCTTCTATGTCTGTCTCTGTCTCTCAGCTCCTTCTATGTGTCTTAGCAATGATGGCAAATAAATCAGAACTTGAACCCAAATATAAACATAGGAACACCACAAGAGGAACCCACCATCAAAAGGCACTTGGTCACCTTTCACCTGCCCTGAACTCCAGAATATGCCAAAGCTCATCCACATGGGCTCCAGGCCAGCCCTCCCATCTTCCCTAGAATCAAGCAATCGATCTCTCCCCTTTTCCTCTTAAATTCGGATTAAAAACTACCATTGACAAGCACCACTTTAACTACCAAGAATTTGCAAACATGATCTTTTATGTTGCATTTTCTTGAAATCCTTTTGTAACAAAAAATAAATAAAGCATTAAAGTGTCCTAAATTGTCTTCTGGGCTATAGTTTGAATACTTTGAACTATATATACAGTGAGTAGTAGTATTTTGTGAATAAAAATGCACAAAGTGGATATTTCTGTATCTTAGTGGTATCTTCAGGATGCTTTTTTCTCCTCCATGGGATATTTTTGGGCTCTACCTATGTTGGTACATATGGGTCCTAGTTAACTATCTTTCTTTGCCAAAGTTATATTTTGGATAATCTGATGGGTGTGAATGTTATTTTCTTGGTTTTGCCTGCATTCCTCTGATTACTATTGAGGTTGAATCTCAAACATTTATAATATAGATTACCTCAGCTATGTTTTGGATGTGGTTTCCCCCTAAAGGTTCCCATGCTGGAATTCAGGTCTCCAGTATGGTAATGTTGAGAGGAGGAGGACTTTTAAGAAGTGGAGTATAGCAGAAGATGATTAGGCACAGGGGTCCCACCCTTGGGAGGGAATAAGATCTTCCCACAGCAATGAGTCAGTGCTCATGGGACTGGATTAGTTCCCATGAGATGGGGTTGTTATAAAGCGAGTTTGGCTTTCTTGGCTGTCTTTCTTGCTTTTGCACCTTCATACTATGCTTCTGCACCAGGAGATCCTCACTAGGTGTCAGCACTATACTATTAGGAATTTCCAGTCACCAGAATTGTGAGCCAAATAAACCTGTCTTCTTTGCACCTTACTCAGCACTGGGCAGTTTGTTAAAGCAACATAAACAAAGCATCCTCTATATGGATTGCCCACTGGTATTGTCTATGTTTCTGTTGTATTATCCTTTACAGTATTCTGAAATCTAGTCATTTGTTGTGTCCACTTCAAATGCCTTCTCTGAGGCCATGGCTTGTTTTACGTTTTTGTCTTCAGCATCTATCTTAGTCTTAAAGAAGAACCCCTACCCAGCCAGCCTTTCTTCCCTCATGAGAGGCCCTCTACCATGTGCTCTGCATGCTTTGTCTGTTTAATCCTCAGCAGCCACCCTGTGGCAGGGCTGATTACTCCCGAGTAAGTGCTGAGGTCAGAAGGGTGGAGCAGCCAGCACAAGGAGTACAGGTGGGAAGAGATGAAGCTGTGATTCAAAACCAGCTCAGCTTGATGGCAGCGCCAAGTTCAAGCCCTCTACACAAGAGTTAGCATGTGAAAGGAGAGAAAGTGTCATTACAAACCCTTAGCAGGACACATCTTGATTCTCAGTTGTGGTTGTACATCCCCCAGGAGATTTAAAAATACTGCTCTCCCACCTCAGAAATGGTGCCTGGTCCAGGATATAGCCTGGAAACGGGCTTTTCTTTTGAAGTCCCTCAGTGTTTCTAATATGCAGCCAGGCCTGAGTACTTCTGTCGTATACTTTGTAGTTTTATTGAATCTAGAAAGACTAGCAGGTCTCAGGCAAGGAAGGCCTGTTTCATTGCACCAGGCTAATACTTTAAGTCTATATAAGGCTTCAAAATATGAGCTAGAAAGTAGCAAAAAAGGGGGAAAGGAGAATGTGCAGACAAGCTCAAGATATTGAGCTCAAGTGCTTTTGTTCTGTTATGTATTGGAAGCCTTCCCCAAAGAGGAAATACAGGGCCTTTACAACTTCCACATCTTGGTGGCTAAATCACCTACAGTTCTCAAGTTCCAGCCATCCACAGTGCCCTCCACATCTAAGCTGGGCTTGGGCTTGCCAGCGGTGGGCTCTGGGCTCTGTGAGCATTGGTTCTGCTGCCCCAGAGGCCCTCCCTCTCACCTCCTATTTCCTCCCAGGCTGAGGGATGAATAGATAGGAATATTTGCATATGAAGAATATTCTAATTCTCTTAATATGAAAGGACTCTATAAAGTAAAAGTAGTATTAAAAAGATGCTTAAAATTGACAAAGAATGTGGAGAACTTACAGGTAAATATAATCATGAAACATAGAAAAAATGTTTATCCCTCATTCAGAATAATATAAATACAAGTTACTATATGTTATGGCTTGTGTCTAGTCACACCCCCCTCCGCCAAAGCCTCATGAAGTTATAGGTGGGGCTTTTTCAGAGGTGGCTGGATCTAGAATGTGATGCTGGGATTGATTCGTGGTGCAATGATAGGATCAAGGGCACTAGAATTAAGGGTATGAGTGCTACCTGCCCTAAGAAGCCTGAATAAAAGAAAAGGGGCAGAAAGACACTGTGAAGGCCCTTCCTTGTTTCGCAACCTTCTGCCCACCATGAACTGTTTCTCCTCTGTGATGCTCCACCATATGCCATCCTGCCTTGGAGCCAGCTAGTTATGGACTGAAACTGCTACTAACTGTGAGCTAAATGAACCTTTCCCCCTTTAACTTTGGGTGTCAGGTATTTTGTCTCAGCAATGAGAAAAGTAACTAAGACACTAGATGAGGGAAAGCACTTTACCTATCAAATTGGCCAAAGGTTTTACAATACATCGCATTAGAGTGAACCATATGAAGTCACCAGGGCCTCTGCCTGCAAAATTGGCCATTTCACATATGTTCATTTCACATAGTTTGCTAGAGTGTAAATTAGTGCAAAGATCACCAGGATAATTTGGCAATGTTGATAAAAATAAATACAGTCTAAACATTTACTGGACAAATATGTATAATGTAGAAAATATCATAAAAAGATATATGAATTGCATAAGTGTCTGTAGTAGGAAAATTTTGGAAACTATCCACATGTTCCTCAACAGGCTCTACCACCTATACCCTGTGCATGATTCAGTGGAATCTGTGAAGAATGAAGAGGCTCTTTTGATGCTGTTAGGGAATATATTCAGTTTACTGTTAATGACAAAACTACACAGCGTAACAGTACTTATAATATTCTACCACTTATGCTTGGACAAAAACTGTGTGACTAGGTTGAGGTATGTGAGATAGATATATAGATATGTATATGCAGACTATTTCTGAGAAAAAAACAACCTAAGTTGTCTCTTGGAAGAAGAAATAAGACAGTTTAAAGGCATGGGCAGATAGAGACCTGCCTTTTATATGAATATCCTCTTGTAGCATTTGAATTTTCTCCCATGTATGAACTTATTTTGTAAAGAAAATGACCTCTTCCTTCATGCTACAGGTGGATTTCAGCATAGATCAAATAGTTTGGAGTTACACATGTCACTGGCTGCTCTTGTGATGTCTGCCTCCACCCAAAGGATGTTAAAAATTAGGTGGGCAATTGCGGGAGTGACAATGTCCTTTTCACACCAGACCGTCTAAGGGAGAGCCACAGGGTGGAGATGGGTGGGTGGAAAATCCCAGACACCACCCAGAGCAAATTTGGTTCCAGTCTCAGTAATCGTAGTTTCCCAAACGTGACTCCAGAACATAGAGAAGGCTAAACGAACACCACAAGCTCAGACCAAGTGCACTCAGCAATTTATTACGAAGAGACAAAAGCCGCACTGTGCTTTCAGCAAGGGGAAAGAGATTGTAGGACCTCTTCTTTCACAGTGTCAGAGCTGCAAAAATTAAACCTGTGGAGAGAGAGTTACAGCATGAGGTTCTTTTGCAGGTGGCAACGTGACATTGAATAAGTCAACAGTTCCCCTTCCCCCCACTCAGCTCCCTTTGACTGAGGAGCTCTATGATATCAAACAGAAAGACTACTCACCTATCCTTATGGCCTCCTAATGTGCTGAAAGCGAATCAGCCACAACAAACCAAAGCTTATAATTGGGGTCTCTTGTGTGCCTGCTTCTCTGGCCTAGCCATGAATTCCAGGGGCCAGCAGTGTCCCATCTGCTGCCCCACAGAGGATTTTCTCTGTTCACCCAAGATCACAGGGACCCTCATACAGTGTCTCTGGGAATGTAAAACATCCTAACCACTTTGGAAACAGACTTGCAGTTCCTCTAAAGGTCAAACAGAATTATCATAAGACTCAACCATTCTGCACCTTCGTGTATCCCCACAAGAACGAAAACATAGTTCCACATGAAAACTTACACGTGAATGTTCACGGCAGCATTATGACAGTCCACAAGTGGAAACAATCCAAATGTCTATCAACTGATAAATAAAATGTGCTATGTGCATAAAATAGAATATTATTTGGCAATAAAAAGAATGCAGTACTGACACATGCTGTTTGGAAGAACTTTGAGAACACTATGGTAAGTAGAAGAAGCCAGTCACAAAGGACTACATATTCTATGATTCCATTCATACGAAATATTCAGAATAGAAAAATCTGTCGTCACAGAAAGTAGATTAAGTGGATGCCTAGGGCTGGGGAAGAAGGATGTATAAACTGAGTGATGATGGGTCAGGGATGTGGGGTTTCTTTCTGGGATGATGAAAATGTTCTAAAATTCATTGTGGTGCTCATTGTACCATCCTGTGAACATACCAAAGGCTATGGAATAGTACACATTTGAAAGGGTGAATTGTACAGCATGGAAATTATATCTCATAAAGTTGTTTCAAAAATAATAAGGAAGACTATCAGTTTTGAGGGGATGGAGCCTGGGCAGGTTGGGGCAATCACCAAGCCATGAGAGTGAGGATACGTCTGGCTTCCCTTTCCATTGCCAGAATCTCTGGCTAAAGGAGCACCATGCGCTAAGCCAGATTTCTCAGGACTTAGCTTCAGAATGCTGCTCCCTGATGAGGGAGCCCGTATGTGGGATGAGGACGGTGGTGCTTGGGATATACAGTGTGTGAGTTCTTTTGTGCTAATAATTCCACTCCGGTAGGATCCAGACACCTCTGGCAGACGCTATGGACTCTGCAGGCCCCCATCCAGCTGTGAGAGGATGGGTGTCATGGAAAGAGCAATGGGTTAGGCATCAGAAGACTTGGGACCTAGCAGCTGTGCCTCCCCATGCATCTTCTGCACCTGAGTTCATCAAGGAATGGCCTATCTGCTGTCATATCTGACCCTTCCAACAGCACATCGACGAGTCAGTATAATTATTTTGCAGCCAGCAAAGTTAAGTCACACAGCCAAGCAAGGTCTTGTGTGTGTGTGTGTGTGTGTGTGTGTTACTGGGGACCGAACCCCGTTCCTTCACACTGAGCTATATCATCAGCCCTTTTATATTTTGAGACAAGGTTTTACTAAGTCACTAAGGTGCCCAGGCTGGAATTGAATTTGCAATTCTCCTGCCTCAGTGCTGGGATTATAGGCACACATTACCACACCCAGTACTTGGTGTGTGCTTTTCAACATTCTGAAGTCCAAGATTTTTCATTTAATTTTTTTTTTTTTTTGGTACTGGAAGTTGAACTCACAACCTCATGCTTGCTAAGCAGGCACTTGTACCACTGAGCTATATCCCTGGCCCATCATTTAGTTTCTCTATGTGACCTTAAACAAGATACTTGACTCTTCAAGTGTCACTTCCTTGTCTTAACATGAGAGACGGAAATCTTTGTTTCCTTCGAACTCTAACATTCCATTACTTTCTGATTATGCCCTTTTGAGATGTCCTTTCTTTTTGTTTTTAATTCTTTTTTATTTTATTTATTTATTTATTTGTCTTTTTGAGACAGGGTCTCACTATGCAGTGCAGGCTGGCCTTGAGCTCACTTTGTAGCCCAGGTTGGTCTCAAACTCACAACGATTCTCCTGCCTCAGCCTCCCAAGTGCTGGGATTACAGACATGTGCCACCATGCCCGGTGAGGTGTCCTTCCTTCTATAGCTCAAAAGCGGTTATGTTCTCTCCCAACTCCTACCAAGGAAGATCTTATTCCCTCAGATTGAGGAGAGTTTGCATGGTGAACCAGACTGCCCTCACAGTTTACATCTCTCCCATGGTACAGTCTCCACACAAACCAATTTACTTTAAGAACCATACACTAACTGAAACTGAAACAAAGGGGTCCCACAGACCCTTCTAGTCCCTGCCATCAACTACTTCCCAGATGATCTCCTTGTTGTTTGAGAGGAAACTGTCTCATGTTTGCCCGTTTCTTAAATATATGTCTCACAGCCAATGCTGTGCCCCTTCCAAGTAGAATATTGCCTAAGGAAAATGTTTGATTGTTCAAAATAAGTCAGATGCATAGATGGAGTTTTGAGATGAATAGTTTGGTAGATGAGCAGATGGAAAGGAAGATGGAAGGCTGGCTGGATGTCCACAAGGATGAGGAAACAGATGTGTGAATGGATACACGGATGTACAGGACAAGGCAGAGGAGTGGATGGATGGGTAGATAACAGATAAGTAGATGGAGACACAGATGTGAACGGGTTACTGGATATATGCATGTATGCACAGACAGACTCATACATAAATACAATCAAACTTAGATGGAATAAAAGATACGCACTCGGCCCCATCTTCACCACGCTGCACTGTGACATGGGAAGCCCCCAGTTTGGGCCTGAGGAGATTTATCACATTGTTATTCCAGAAGAACTTAACCTTCTGGATTTCTCCAACATCGAGGTCCACGTCAATGGCACGTGTAAGTGTGGCATCCGGTTTGAGGGATCCCCTGAAAATACAGCCACAAAACATCAGCTGGGTGTATGAATATCCGGATGGCAGAAATTATTGTTTCTCTAAACACTGGCTTCTGTTGTTGGTTTTCTGCAAACACCTGGAATGACTCCCTACACACCCACGAACTGCCAAACACAAATGTATTTGTGCAGAACACATGTTAACAAATACTGGACTGGAGATTTCCACTGTTCTAGTTTGTCCCTAGAGAAAAGTGATGTATTTGGGGTACATAATAGCACTATCAGTCTGCGCCAGGACCAATCGGTGCAGTGTCTTTTCTTAAAAGATGCACGAAGTCATGTTAAATTATAAAAATTAGTGCAAAAACAGAGCCTAATTTTACCACACAGGTTATTGGTTCATCACATATTTACCAAGCTCCTCATACATCAAGCATAAGCCAGGGGTTGAGGCCCTCATAGAAACAACCACCTAGCCCAGGCTTCATGCGCCCCTGTGTGTTTAGGGGGGCAGTGTGTGTTGAAGAAGCGGGAGTTGTCATGTAGCTGTACTTTGCTGGAGGAGAACTTAGGTTCATAAAACCTAAGTCACTGATCAGCATTCTAAAGGGAATTGGTACAGGACATTTTAAATAGTGAGTCTTTTTCTCTGGGACTCACTATTTTTATATGTAAAACAGGATGCTATTTTTTTTTTTGTTTTGGTTTTTCTCCGGGAACTGAACTCATGACCTTGCACTTGCCAGGCAGGCGCTTTGCCGCTGAGCTAAATCCCCAGCCCCAACAGGATGCTATTTTAAATTTTTGATTAGTACATGTTTGCCGTACATAACAATCATATTCATTGGAGGAGTTCGTACACATAGATAACACATCTCTATTCTGATTATTTCTCCTTTCCTCTACTTCCCACTCTCTCAAGCTCTAACTCCCCTTCCCGTTTGCCAAATATCTATCCCCCTGTTGCCTACTGTCCTTTGCTTTGCTCTTTACATTATTTAAAAACAGGATGACTGAACTAACTGAGAAGACTTCCTTCCAGCTCTGACAGTCCAAGATTCAATGGTTCTGTAGAACGGATGCCTAGATTTATAAATCAGTTTACACCCAATCTTTTATGAATCATCTATTATGGAATGTATGGCCATTTCAATCCACTACAGAACTTACTCAAAGATCTCATATTGTTTTGAGCTTCCATTCCTTCCAAACAAAGCAATCTTGATGTGCCCTTTCAGTTCCTTTTCTCCAGATAGTGTGACTGATACCTTATACCTCCAACCTGGTAAAGAAATACAATCAGTTCAACAAACTTGTCGAAACAATGACCCAGATTGTTTAATATAAGCATTGTTTTTCTAAGCTCTGAATCCCCGCATGGGTGAGAGGTCAGGGGTGATGTGACTAATGGTTTCTTCCAAAGGATTGGGACCCAGGGATTGAGATTCTGGGTGGGGTGAGGAGACCCTGAGGGGAGGAAATACTATAGTTCAGCACAACAAGTGCGCCTTGACAAATGAAGGGTGACGCATTACTGCATACAAGTATTCTAATACACAAGGCAATGGACTCAATGTGTCTCCCCAAATTTATATGCTGCAACCCTGAATCACTATGTGATAGTACTAGGAGAGGGGAACCCTTGGGAGATAAACTGGTAACAGCTCTGCGCTAGTCAACATAGTGGAGCCCTTGCAAATGGGATCAGTGAAAGATACTCCGGAGGGCTCTCTCGCCTTCTTTCCATTCAATGGGAAAACGCAACAGGACAGCAGTATGCACCCAAGCATGCTGGCACCTGATCTTGAACTTCTAGCCTCCAGAACTGTCAAAAATAAATTTCTCCTGTTTAGGTAGAACTTAAGATCTGGCATTTTGTTATAGCATCCTGAACTGAGACACTTGGTTGGATGTGGCCTTTTCACTTGGCTTGTCCCTTAAGATGTCTCAGAGAGTTTTTCTCTTCAGTTAATAGAACCACATTCTTTTTTAAAAACGGCTGTCATAGTGTTTAATCTATAGCATTGGGCTACTTTCCAATTGATGGACATTGTGATTTTCTCCTCATTCTTTTGTTATTAAAACAATGCCACAATGGGCATCTTTGGACACATCTTCTTATGCATACATGGTATGTTCTGAGAAGCAGAGTGGCTGGATTAAAGGAATATGCTGTGAGACTTTATAGATACTGCCAAGATAAATTCAATATTACATGAAATACTCTATGTGAAAAGTGTTTTGCAAAGTGCCACATACTTTAAAATTTAAAACTCTTTTGGTAAATAAGGCTCTTTTCTACATACATTATGTGATATTATTTCTATAAAATTAATCTTTAGGTTTTTCTGTCTTGTATTTTTTAGTGAGAAGCTAGATAAAGTAACAGCAACCACAAAACAGTGTGTATGATAATTGTCACTAGGGTGACTTCTGGGCTTGCAATGATTTTGCCTCAGTTGCCCTCTTTTTCAGTTTGTAGATGTGGCCCTTCTGCGCCCAGGGGCTGGGTAGAGAGGTGAGCCGGCTAGAGCCATTCATTGTTCTTTACTCTGCTGCTGATCAGTATTATTGGTTAGTGAAGGTGAAAGTGAGACCCAAGACAAACGCCATTCTACAGTCCTTACGTCTCCGCTCAAGCTGGTTGTGGCTGAGTTTCTTTCAATTTCTACCAAAGGTGCTGACTAAATAAGGCTGGTACACCTTTCAAAATTATTGGCAAGAATTTTTAAGTGAGTAAAATGGAAACTTACGGGTAAAGTTCCCACTATCTCCTGTGTTCAGAAAATATGTTTGTTCCACACCACTGATTTGCTCCTGAAATTGGTCAGCATAGTGCCCCATTTTGGGGCATCCTGTGGCCGGACAAGGAAAACAGCCATTCTAGTGGAAAAAATATAATCTGTCTGTTAGTAGTAGGCCTTTGACATGCTCACTGTATCCATCAGTTCATCTTCGGATCTGTTTATCTATAGTATCTATCTATCTACCCACTCATCTCCCACCTACCCTTCCATCAGTCAATCCATTCTCCCACCCCACTGTCCACACACGCATGCATCTGTCTACTCATGCACCATCTGCCCATGCTTAGAACTGCGTTAGACCCTGCAGAGTGCCCAACACAAAACCTTGAAAACTTAGGGTACAATAGGAAGACAAATCATATATATGAAGTGATGAATTTAAACTATGAAAGGGGAATGGAAACAATGCCTCTAGGAAAAAGTAAATGGAAAAGACAACAGTTATTTTAAAAAGGGGGACAAAGCATAGCAGCGATCATTTTCACTTTAATGTGAATTATTTCTCCACTAGTTAACCCCTATTCAGTGTTCCCCAAGTGGGAGTTCATTAATTAGGCTTTCAGACAGGTGAGGATTTTATGGTACAATATATTTTCCCTCTCTCTGTCCTTGACTTCATATACACACCTAATTCATGGTGTGCATAGATAGCTCTTTTGCAGTCTGGAGAGTATAAGACAGGTGCTGGAGGTCACATTATTACACACACAACAATAACAGCCAACATAGCCAAAGCTGTTCGCTGGACACGCGCCGCCTTGGGGAATCAGATATCAGGTCTCCTTGACTTTAGTTCATCTCAGAATGTCAAGATCAAAATTAGTTTTGAAAGGGAAAAAGATAAATTTGAGCATGTTTTTATCTTTGAGAAAAAAATCTTTTAAAATGTTGAATTTTTGCTATCCTTAGTATAACTGATTCAAGTAAGAATCATCAATAGATACTCAGACCTTTCACTGGGTTCCAATAGAAACTAAAAGCTTTCCCCTTAGTAGATTATTAAGGGGACATTATTATTGTATATGACACAGAAATCTGGCAGACACCACCTTAACCGAATAATCAAAACATGCAATCAAATAATGGACAAAGTACCATTAAATACATATACTGAGTGGCTGAGTTTCTGTCAAATGCTACCAACGGTCCTGACTTAATGAACCGGGCACATCTTACTTAGACAAACTATGATAGGTTGTGACTGACTGAGAAGGATGTAATGTCACCCATAGGATCACAAAGAAATAATCAGCCAATTTCAGAGTGTGGGATATTCTACTGAACATCTTGCTTGGTCAAATATACTCGTCATAATTTCCCATGTCCTGGAAGTCCAAGGAAAAAATGGGAAACTGTTTGAGATCGAAGGAGACTAAAGAGAGGACATTAAATGCAATGTAACTTAAAAAAAGAAAGACAGGAAGGAGGAAAAAGGGAAGGAAGGATGGAGGGAGGGAAAGAAGGAAGAAAAGAAGGAAGGAAGGAAGAAGAGAAGAAGGAAAGAGTCAGCCAGCTCTAGGGAACATTATTTGAGTAAATAGAGAAGTTTAAATATGGACTATATATTAGAGAATATTAGTGTATCCAAGTTAAAGCTCTTGAATGTTGTCCTATAGAATGATCACATTCTTAGGAGATAAATGCTGACACATTTGTGCATAGAGCGTCCTAATATCTTTAATTCACTTTCACGTAATTTAGGAGCAAAGTACACATATGCATGTACATATAAAATGCTAGCGCTTGGTGCACTGGGTGATGGGTGTAACAGACATTCATTCACATGCTCTTTTTCAGGCTCTTGCAGACTGGAAGTTGTCATAAAACAAAAGGTGACAACCCTGGAGTGGGCCCAGCACAGCCAGCTCTGTGCCGCTCCCCTTCCGTCCACCCTGTCCCTGCAGCAAGAAAGATCTGGAAGCCTCAGCTTTTCTACAACCTCTGATTATTCATGCAAGGTCACACACATCTCTTGTTCTAAGCCATGGGGACAAAACACCACCAGCAGGGCCACCACCCTCTTCCTGGGCCCACTGTGACCTACCTCCTGGAACTCCTTGTAGGACGCACAGGGATAGCCCAGGAAGCCATCGGGGTTGAGGATGCTGCTGGAATAATACTTGTAGCTCCGTAGGTGGTTGCAAGCGACCAAGTCGCTGATTCCTGAGGAAGGTGAGGCCATGAGAACTGGAGGAGGTCTTTTCCCTTTGAACTGCAGCCCCTTCTGACCCTCTACCTTTCATGAATGGGCATTTGCCTAGGAGGACTACTTAGGGCCAGCCAAAGCTGAGGAGAGACAAGTCTTGATTAAGAGCCCGATGGGGTGGGCATGTAACATAAATGAGGAGGCTGGGGACCAGGTGTGGCTAGAGAGGCAGAGTGGGGGCAGGTGGATTCAGAGAGAGCCAAGAGACAGAGAAAAGACAGAGAAGAGACAGAGAAAAGATAGCAATTGGTTTCTAAAAAAGCAATATATATGTAGAAATATAGATAGATAGATAGATAGATAGATAGATAGATAGATAGATATAGATATATGAGAGAGACACACACACACAAAGGGCAGAGGCAGAGACACAGTGAGAAACACAGACAGAAGCAAAGACAGACAGAGACAAACAGAATATAAAATTGGCTTTCCTTATCTATGAATTCTGTAGCCTTAGATTCAACCAATCCCAAGTCAAAAATGTAGTGAAGTCCATGAAGGTTGTATGTGAGCTGAACACATGGAGTCTTTCTCTTTTCACTATTCCCAAGATAATAGCATATGTATTATATATATATATCTCAACTACTTATACAGTATTTACATTGTATGAGGTCTTACAAGTAATCTAGAGATGATTTATAGTATACAGGAGGATATATGGAGGTTATATGCAAATGTTATGCTATCGGATGTAAGGATATAAAGTTGAGGTTCTGGCTTCTTAAGGAGCCCTGGAATACCCTGATGCTGGGGGATAATTGTATATGCATTGCAGAGGGATAGACAGACAGCAGCAGAGACAAAGAGGTACACAAAGATGGTGACAGTAGCTTTTGAAAGGATCCTGCAGAGCTCTGCCAGTTGTTAAAGGCCCAGATTATTTGTTCATTTTTCATGGGAAGTAAGGATCCTGACTTCCACGTTTCAGGGCTGGCAGTGAGTTTCCATGCTATAAGAAGTCAGCACGGAGGCCCACCCACCACTATGGTGGATTGCATTGTGCCACATCCAGGGACCCTGGACCACGTGGACAGGACAGGTGTTTCCCAGGCCAGCCTTTTCTGAGCCTGAGTGCCCAAGCTGAGCAATTCCTCCACTTCGCTATGCCAAGCACAAGGCAACTCTGGCTACTCTTTCACTGCACTTTAGTTATCATCTTTTTCATTAAACCAGAGTCATTTGGTTTGGAAAATTGATTTTTCATTTTTCAGCTACTTGGTACAAAACCTCCCATGGAGTAATCTACAGTAATCCCACACTAGGGACTCTTCTGGGGTGATCTGCTGAGCTGTATGCTACACCCTTTGGGAAAGGAATGCTCCCCTTTGTGGCCCGGGTGGATTCACTATCACAGTTCCAGCCCCGCTGTGCATACGGTTGAGTACCTTCCGCCCGGTGACCAGGTTCTGAATGCACCGGACAACAGAACCTGTTTTAAACTTAATTGTTTCTTTTATGCCAAAATGCTGCTCAGGGACCCCATAATAGAGAAGAAAGTGGATTTCATTGTTTCCCGTACCCAGCACCTGGGTGACTCAGAGCGCAGCACAATAGAAGCACACGGCAGCATTCATGGGCTTGTTCACTCTAAATTGCCTCTAATTAAACCTTGGCTCACTCCTATTATGTGTGCCCTTCTTGTCATTTCTGGGAAGGGGCAGCTATTACTGTGACTCTGGGGCACCTTCAGGGCAAGCCGAACAGCGTGTCCTCAGAGAGTTACCTGGTTCTGGGCTGAGAAGCCCAAAGCTCCATTTATTTGTTGGTGGATGCTGAGGGTTGCTTTATCCACCTCGCTCTCTGACATACAGTACACAGAGTACGGCACTGCCACGCAGGGCCACTCAACTCCACACAACAGAATGCGCTTAGTGCCCGCTTTGGGCGAGTCCCGAACAGGGTCCTGGGGTGTCTAGGTGCCCAAGACATAGTCCTTAACTGTGGGGAACTTCTAATTCAGAAAAATAAAGACAAATAAAATGACTACAGACCATAAACCTCCTCCTTCAGGGAGGAGAGTGAAATGGGCCCTCAGGAGGGGTAAGAAAAATAAAGGTAAGAAAGAGGGAGTCACCTGATGTTATGGCTATGGATCCTGCTCTTTTGGATGAACAGAAACACACAGGGCTTGCCAGGACCCCTGCAGGGGCTCCCCAGACCTCCAGACCCCACTGTGCATATATGACCCAAACACACAAAGCACAGCCCTCTTCTGTCTTCCGATCAGCTCAGCCCCCTTCCATTCCTAGGACCTGGCAGTGGCAAAAAGCAAGAAAGTCACAGCCTCCAAATCCCTGTTTACACTCTGTAGTTCAAGGAACAGATGGTGACGGAAGGCCAAAGCCAGAGCTCAGTATTTGCCAGTGCGCCCATCCAGACCTGTCCCAGCATCCTCACAACTGGAGGAGATCCTACAGGCTGGGAATCAGAGCCATCATCAGAAATCAGGCTTAAATATAAGATGCCCTTGGACAAGCTAACTTTTCTGACTGCCAATTTCTGCAGCTGTAAAATAGGACAGGTCAGAGTAAAAATCTTATAGCACAAGCGCTCCCTAAGTGGCGGCAAATTCAGTATCATGGTGGTTACCCCCACACATTCGGCTTTCTCCCCAGCTACACCAGTTGCTGCCTTATTTCTCTTATTTACATACCTTGCCAGAATCCATTGACATCAATGATGGTCGAAATGATATTTTTCTCACATCCAGGCATTTCCTTTCCTCCATTTGGAAAGAAGTCCAGATGGCCCACCTTTTGGCTCATCCCAAAACCTGAAACATGTGAAGTGAGGGGAGGTAAGTGATCCTAAGTTAGACCATGGTCCAGTCAGATGTTCAACTCATCCCAACAAGAGCAAGAGCCTTCCTGGCAAATTCTCCCCTCAGCACAAGTATCACCACCTCTACCTGTGCAGAAACTTCTCAGATAGGAGCTTGGCAAGACAAGGAGGATGGAGAAAATATAGGAAGTGAGTTGAGGGGGAAGCTGGGCTCCGGGTGAGTGCGTGCAACTGTGTGCTATTCCTTGTGAGGCCCTGGACAATCCAATGTGCTCTGATACCGAAGACACTGATAGGCACATATCTGGCAATTTCTATTACTTTGCTTATTGTTAAATTTTGATTTCCATATTATATTGCTATGTTGAGATCAAATGGCATTAGGTGCAAATTGTTCTTTTGAGAGCCACAGGATAAGAGTTGGGAGCTTTGGCTTGTGAGGCACAGAAATCCGTGATTACAGACTTCACTTAACTTCAGTGAATCTCAGTCCTTCAGCTGTGAAATGGTGATATATTCACTTTTTAGAGTGTTACAGGATTAATAAGCTAATGTTCAGTGCACCACCACCATTATCATCACCTTTAAAAATATACCCTGTATTGGCATATTTCATGAATGGGTATGTGAGAAAATATTGAAAAAATTGATTTTAGGAGAATAACATCAAAGGATATATTTAAATTCCAACAAAAGAAACTATAACCAGAGGTCAGTGTCAATAATAAACATATCTGCCACTTTGGATATGCACAGACTGGGGAAGGTGGCAGGGCTTAGGATTGAATGAGAGCCTCCTAGGGCCTATAAAAGGGTGTTTTATTTTACCTGGGCCTCAGGCTGATACCATCTGCATTGTGCTGCCTATTTATTTGGGGCTGGAACCAATTTTTGACTGGTTGATACCTAAGCCATTCCTGTAGTTAGCCTTTTTGAATAGCCTCCTTGCTGTGTGTGTGCGTGCATGTGTGTGTGTGTGTGTGTGTGTGTGTGTGTGTGTGTGTGTGTTTGAGCATGTGCACATGTTTTGGGGTAGGGGACTCTTGCACCCAATGCTATCAGTCATGACCCTGGTGACCGGAGCGTGGGATAGAGGAACTTACCAAGGGAGGGAATTATGGGAGCAATATCTGTGTGGATTACATCCACAAACATGGCGTCAGATGGGTCCAGTCGAACCTCCTCGGGTGTGCCCTGGAAGCATGGTTCTGCTGGATCCAGCCCTGAAAGGAAGGAGACAGACATGTTGCACTTTGAAAAACACTTGGATCTAAACCCCACCCTCACTAACCAAGCATGAGGATTCTTGGGCAAAGGGCCCCAGACCCAGATGGCTATGGCAGTTCCCAGTCTGCCTGGCAAAGAGGCTGAGGCAGAAAGACAGGAATGAGGGCAGTGTCTGTTGAAGCACATTGGGAAATCCCCAGTTCCTGGCTCCATGAAGGTTGTGAGGAGATCTCTGCACACCTCATTTCCCTTTTCTTATTTTTTTCTCACACATGTTCCCCTCTGGCTGTTGGTCTCAGGGTCTGCAAGCTGTGTGGCCTCACGCAGTGGCTCCCCAGTCCCTGAGACTTCACGCTTCTCTCTCTGCTTGGCCCTTCCTGGATATTCTACCTGTATTTGCATCTTTCTCCTCCAGGACCCAGCTGTAAGACCATCCCCTCAAGAAAAACTTAACTCCTCCTTTCTTAGCCTATTCTAGCCACATTATATTATTTTTTACTTATTACTTTCACTTTGCATTTCATTTGACTGCTTAGTTTTCTGCTTCCAGGACTGCAGGGTGTGTTTCCTAAGTGGGGGCTGTGCCCAGCTCATCTTCAAAGAGAGGTAGAAGGTGGGGGAAAATCGCACACAGTGACCTGTATTCTTGCCCCTGTTCTGCTGAAGGTCCAACGTTTATTCTCACCCAGAAAATGGGAATCAGGACATCTGCCTTAAAACATTATCTAGGCCTTTATATTTAAATGGTCACAACTAGAGACCATACTCATAAGCGAAATAAATCAAACATACATGTGCAAGCACTGCATTGTGTCACTAGTGTAAAACTTAAAAGAGTTAAGTTAAACTCGGAGGTATGATAGACACTGTGAAATGATAGGAAACCACCGAAGAGTAAAGGGCTTCTGGGATGTGGGAAAAGAGAAGGGAAAGAAGGAGAAATTTTGTATGCATGTATATACAGGATAGATAACATGGTTGTTCTTCTGTCTTCTATTTCTATGCTGAAAGAAACTGTCAATGAGCCTTTGGTTGACCAGTATCGCATGTCTATATCTGTTTTCATGAGAAGCCACTTTGAAGATATCAATATGTAATACAACCACCATTGTTAATTCCCTACCACTTTGTTTGTAACTCTGTATTGTGCTTGTGATATGTTGTAAAATGTTGTATGTCTGTTAATGTTTCCCTCCTTTTATCTTTAAAATAAAATAAAAAAAATAAAAAATAAAAAAAAATAAAAAATAAAAAAAAAAAAAAACATTATCTGGAAACTGAAAAAGTCTACATAACCATAAACTATTACCCCCCTCTTCTGTCACTCAGGGCCTCGAGCAAAAGGGACGCCCATCAAGACTGAGCCAAACTGTTCGCTCAAGTTGTATCCTGATTTGGTTGCCCAGAGTAAAGTCGTCCTTGTCGGTCTTGCACGCATTCACTCCGCTTAGGATCCATTCGTTCGTTCATTCATCCATTCATTTATTCATTGCAGTGTTTACTGAGCAAGAGCTATGTGGTAGGTCTCAATTAGACCCTTTCATTTTCTGCCTGTGCCTGACACAGCAAAGACAGCGAAGAAATATTTGTGTGGAACTGACGAACTTTTAAAAATTATCACACTTTTTTTTTTTACTTGAATGCACTTTAGAAATAATCCCATGGCCATAGATGTAATATACTATTGCATTTTTCTTGTTTCATAAACCCATTTTTATTTGCAATCATCTGTGTTTTAATATACATTAAAATATATGCACAAAAATTTTAAAAATAAAATATATGGCCAATTATTTGTAGTTTTGTTTTTGTTTTTGTTTTTGTTTTTGTTTTCCCCCCGGTACCAGGAATCGAACTCAGGACCTGAGTTTGCCAGACAGGCACTGTGCCGCTGAGCTAAATCCCCAGCCCCCCAGCCAACTATTTGTAAACGAAAGCCCCGTCTAAATTCAGCTCCCAGAGCAGCAGGGGTGCCCTTCGCCGTGGGCAGCTCAGGAGCACAGGCTTCCGCTGCCCCTCGCTCCAGGCACTTGGGTCCCGGCCGGCCGGCGCCCCCACCTACCTGTGATCCTGCCCGCGCGCCCTTCCAGCCTCCGGCCTGCCTCCCCCGCCACGTGCGCGCCCAAGCTGTGGCCGATCAGGTGCACGTTCACCGGCTCGTAGCTCAGCTTCGTCTGCGGAGGGAGGGCGCGTCAGGCCCCACGGCACTCACGCGAGGGTCGGGGAGCGGACGCCGCCTAGGCGGAGAGCGACCCCGCGGGGTCTGCCGTCTGCGCGGCTGGCCGCAGCGGAGCGCGGGGCAACAGTGCTGACCAGCGGCCGCGGCGCCAACTGCAGGCAGCGGCGGAGCCCCCGCCCTGTCCCGGGCAGGGTGGGGCCACTTTGCAATCCCAAGCCTGAGTCGTTCCCAGAACAGCCTGCCGGGAAGGGAAACCGACCTTGCAACAGGTTAGGCGCCCTCGGCTGGGACCGCATGGGGCGTCGCCTCCCGAGGGAGAACGTTTGGGCCGCTTGACTTGCCGCCCAGCCCTGCGCTCTGGGTGCAGTGTGGGGTTTCCCTGGCCCCAGGACGGGGCCGGGCAGGCCTTACCCACAGCACTTGCACTAAGTAAGCGATCTCTGCGCCCACGACCCGAATGTTCTGAGCCGCTTGGCTGTAGTCCGTCCGAGAGCCGCCCTTCCAGTCCACGCAGATGCAGTTCACCTTCTCCACCTGGAACATTCTCTGGGGAAGACAAAGATGGGAATTCCCCCATCAAGCACTGCGCTGTGCTAGAGATTTATTATCCTCCCTCTACCATCACATCCTGATGCTCCATATAGCACCTGCTCCACAGATACGGAAACTGAGGCGGAAACGGGCAAGTGACTGGTCTACGGTCTGACAGATGGTTACTGACACAGCCAGGTCAAGAAGTCCACTCATCAGATCACGGGTGAGCAAACTGCTACCCAATAAAGTTCACCAGTTAGCCCCTCAGTCGTTCTAGGCCCTCTCCAAGTACCTAATACTCCCTGTGGCTAGTGGCCCCTGATTTGGACAGCACAAGTACAGACCGTTTCCATCAGCACAGAACACGCTATGGGACACATGTGCTTTAGAAGGCTGTATTTCAGCTTTTAAACAAAATGTCCCATGGGGCTGCATGTTAACAATCCGAGATGAAAACGTCAGGAAGTGTGTGTAGTCTGCTCGTCAGACTGTCCGACTAGGGTTTGGGTCCTTTTCACCTCAGAGGGCATGGCTGCCTAGAAATTGGTGGGTAGGGAAGATTCGCAATGGATACACTGAGAATTTGGCTTTCCTCAGTGGTGTTAGGAGGGAGCCCTGCCTCCCTGGAGAATTTTCTGTGCTGGTCTCAGAGCCTCGGGAGTGCAGTATTTGAATCTGTGTGCTGGGCGCTGGCCTCCCCAGGGAGAGCCAGATGAGGAGGAAGGCCCCTACCTCACACATTTCCGTCAGCCAGTTCGTCTCCCCGCTGTCTAGGAAGCCATGGATAATGAAGCGTGTCTTGCGGTCCAGGTTGAAGTTGGAAGCTTCGATGGTGGCTGGGTCAGTGGCACTGATCAGCTGGTTAAATTAGAAAAGGAGAATTTGAATACTGGCCTTTTCAAGCCATGGGCATTTTAGTGACAGTTCCAGTAATGGATGTCACAGGGTCAGTCCCCACCAAGTTGGATCAGGCCTGAAGGAATTCCTCCCCCCACCCTTCTAGAATTTTATTTTAGTTTTTGTTAAATTTTATTTGCCGTTGGTACATGTTTGCAGTACATAATGATTCCATTCCTGTGGGGAGCTGGTGCGTGTACACAACACATCTTAATTCTTTTTTCATCCGTGTTTCTGGCCAGGGGTGTGGCTAGAATTCTGAAAGCCCAAGTTCATAGACTATTTTCCTGAACCTCTAACTGCAGTCTAGAATTTCTCTTAATCATGAAACTAGGCAACAGACCACTTTGGAATTAACAACCTTCTGACTGTGTCCTTAGTCGAAGTCACAGGTGTTTCCATGTCACGTTGTAATAGTAGAGCCCTAGCCAGGAGCAGCAGGTTTTAGGTGAGATTCAGCCCAGCGGAGCCAGGAGAATTCACAAGACTCCTACGTCTCATGGTCTTGCTCAGGCTCACTTCCGCCAGGACAACACCCCGCCCGGCAGGTCTTCTGGTGCTGAAGATTGCTTTCAGGGACCTTACGTCTTTCCTTCTGTGTTTAAAGTTGTCCTTTCCCCTGCTCCTGTTTCCTAGCTGTTCAGGAGGGGTTTATGCACCTTCACCCTCACCCTCAAGGGGCTTTTCTCTCCTACTTCACTGCCTACAGTCAACAGCAGATAGGACTTTCCTGGGGCCATATTTCAGCTTATCCACAACTCCCGCTCATACTCTTCCTCTAAAGGAATAGGATGTTGGTACTGCAGTGCTCCTGAAGATCTGGGCACCTCTGTGTGTGTGTGTGTGTGTGTGTGTGTGTGTGTGTGTGTGTGTGTGTGTGTTTCTAAGTTAGGCATCAGATTCTCAGGTGTTTAAGATTCTCCAAAATCTCTAGGTCTCACAATGGCAGGACAGCACCCTCTGGAAAGTTCTAACCCAGTGAACTGCACCCTAGACTGCCATGTGAGGGCTGCAGCATAGGACCAACACTTGCCCACCGTGCAGTCATCCCACACCCCCTCTTACTTGGTAGTTTTTCTGATTTTCATTTGTGTACAGAAGAAACCGAGTGTTAATGCTCTTGGGGGATGAGGGTAATAGCTTCAAAGGCCGTTGAATGGTCCCTGCCCATGGTTTTTCATCGGAGAAGCAGCCAAGGTGGTCATAGCAGACTTCTTTCCCTGGGGCAGGAAGAACCACAAACAGGATACATGTGAAGTTTTGGGGAGAGGCAGTTTATCTCTGTGCAGGAAGATGCTTTAGGTCAGAGCCAGTGCCAGCTATGGGCCATTACTTTTGCCATCAGTATTCCTGAAACTACTGTGCTGATAAGAATCACTTGGGGTCTAGGGGTGAATATATATTTGCGTATATTCCACACAAATACCACACACATGCCCAGGCCCTTCCCTCCCAGAGTCTCACTCAGAGGGTCTTCAGGGTACCTGCAGACAGCATGTTTACTAAGTGTCCCTAATCAGGCAGGCCAGGGAATCACTGCTCTCCATCCTGCTGCCTGAGTGCTGCCTCATGTGGGGAACTCCCTGGTGGCCTTGTATGTATCAAATATTACCTAATATTGGGCCAGGGATGTAGCTCATTGGCATAAGCACCTGCCTGGCAAGCGCAAGGTCCTGAGTTCGATTCCCGGTACCAAAAAAACCCCCCAAAACAGAAGACAACCCCCCGAAAAAACCAAAACAAAAAACAATATCACCTAATCCCAAGTGCCCGGGAGCTCTGCAGCACAGAGATGCTATGTACTCATCTCAGCGTCTCTGTGACATGCAGCACAGGCTGTCACTTTCTCCCCAGAGAGATGGTGACAGGATCCTCACCTCTGACGGTGGCCAGCAGGACAAGGCTGATGGTCCATGCGAACAGCATCTGCGGGTTGAAAACACAGTGGCACATCTACCAGCACCCGCGGGCACAGGCATGAGGCTGGCACAGCAGAGCCCAGGGATGGTGGGAGGGCAAAGGCGCAGAAACCCAGTGGCCTGGGCCTTGCAGGACCCTTCTTTGGGAACGGGACCCTGAGTTTGGGACTTCCAGAGGCACCTGGAGTGGGTAGCACCACCCTGGAGCCCTGGACTGGGAGTCCTTCCATTACAGCTGCCTCTCCCTCCTGAGCCCCGCTCCTGGCAGCCCAGTACTGCCCTATCCTGCTCTTCATGCCCTCCCTACAGGGGCTGTGACTGTGACTTACCGTGCTGAGCTGAACTTCCACTCATGTCCTGCAGGTTGGCCGTAGCCTTTTATAACCAGACTCGATCCTCCGCACACCTACGAGGAAAGGCCACGGCAGGATAGATAGGGCTTGCGTGGTCACTCTGAACCTCAGTTATCAAAAACACATAAAACTAGTGCCATCTGGTGAGCAGTGCTGTTTAGAAAGGGAGGAAAAGAAAAACTAACTTTAGGGAGGAAAAGTGCTCTGTTAATCTGAGTTTCCAGGTTCATTTGCCAAAAGACTGTGTTCCCAAAGTGATAACAGGGGCACACCACACTGTAGTATCTACCCATCAAAATCCCTTCAGACACAGGGACTCCAAACCCATCCGGTTGGTAGAGGATGCAGAGGACTTGCTGTTCAGTGAAGGGTGTGTTTTTTAACATACATGCCACGTGTACCTTAGGGATGACGTTGGGGTTCCCCTGTAAACCTACAGCGTAGAACCTAGACAGAGGCTGGAAATGAAGGAGTTGTGCAGAGCAGGATGTGCTAAAGGGTAAAACAAACTCTGTTCACAGACAATGTTGCTTAAATAAGATAGTTTATCATTAGCTCACTTCTGAGCTGTTCTGACTGCACTTTGATGCAGACGTAAGAAGCTGAAGGTTTTTTAAAAATTTCTTTCAAAGCTAAGAGGAGACCCTTGGTGGACAGGGAGGTGCTGCCCTGTCATGTTTTAAACTGTTGTGTTATTTCCAGGCTTGTTCAAACTATGGCCAACTTTTCTTTTCTTTTCTTTCTTTTCTTTTCTTTTTCTTTCCCTTTCCCTTTCCCTTTCGCTTTCCCTTTCCCTTTCCCTTTCCCTTTCCCTTTCCCTTTTCCTTTCCTTTCCTTTCCTTTCCTTTCCTTTCCTTTCCTTTCCTTTCCTTTCCTTTCCTTTCCTTTCCTTTCCTTTCCTTCTTTTTTTGAGTAAAGAGAAACTGTCTTGGGCTGCATATAAAAATTTCATAGTTAACATGAATAACAAATCTTCCATTTTAAAGTTTAAAAAAATTTTTTTACTATCACATTAAAAAAAAAGAAGGGAAAAAAGGCAGGGCACAGGTTAGACACACTTGATTTAGGTACACCAAAGGGCATTGAGCTTAACTTTGAAAACTTAAATACAGTTTAATAAGTTCTGAGAGATATCTATTCCTGTCATGGCTAGCATAGGTCCTGGCTTTAGGGATCATAGCAGTTAAGACAAAAGCAACAGAATGAACTTACAGGCAAACACTTTAATGGAAGGCAAGCCAAGTTAGGGAAAGGACGCCAGCTTGAGAAATATCTGGGAGCAGTGCTGTGACAAAGAGGATCAGACTGGCCCACCAAGATGAACAGACCCTGGTTTTATAGCTCTAGGGGGTGTTCTGTTCCCATGAAATGAGAATGTGCTGTTACTCTAATCTTGGTGGATAAATTTAAGGCTAATAACCTTGTTTTGTTGACTTTTTCTAAATGAGTGACATACCTATATTTAAAGTTTTAACACAATAAAAGATAAAATGAAGGTCTTGCTTTGCTCTACTTTTAGTAAGCTTTTTGGTCATGTGTAGGTCCTAATCAATAGTGAAGGGTTTTGTAAAAACTATTTTTAAACCCTTAATTGTTTCAGAAGAAATTACAGATTGTGTTTTTAGTGAGAAACAGGTTAAGGGCTCAGGAATCTGTTTGTCCTTTGTCTCTATTGTGGTCTTTCACTGTGCTGTCTCCCCTGAGAGACATTTATCCTTTATTTAATTTTAAGGAAAAATGGACAAAAATTATGTTTTTTTTTCTTCTGCATATCTTTTTACATTTTAAAGAGTAAACATAAAAATGAGAATAGCAATAAAACAGAGTTTCAAACCTGGCTAATAGGAGAGTAACAATAATTAACGCAATTAATACAATGTCATCTTAATACTAGTTACAGTATAAGACATAAGCATGAAATATTGTCCAAACAATATTAGTACAAATCTTTCTTTTCAATGAACTAAGAAAAATTAGTAGTATAACTATCTTAACTATTTTGTGTATGTATATGTATACACAAATATATATAATATATTTTATATATATAATATATTTTATATATAAATAAAATATATTATATATATAATATATTTTATATAATATATTATATATATTTTTTTCTTTTCCCTTCCCCCCATCACAGTTTCTCTTTTCTTTTGAACACTTTCTTCCCAATTCACAATATCTGTTGTATAGTTTGGATCTTATTTACTAATTCAGTTTCTTGCACTAGTGAGATGATATGATGTTTATATGCATCAATTTGATTTATTTCACTTACGAGTATAATCTCAAATTGCATACATTTACCTATAAAAATCTCAAGCTTATCATTCTTTATGGTTGAGTAGTACTCCATTATATAAAAAAACACATCTTTTTAATCTATTCCTTAGTTGATGGGCATTTGGGGTGTTTCCAAGATTTAGCTATTACAGATTGTGCTTGTGGAATGATGTTTAGCTATTACAAACTGTGCCTGTGGAAGATATCAGAAGGGGAATAGCTGGGTCAAATGGGACTTCTGAGCCTAGTTTTTTAAGGAATCTGCACACTGATTTCTGTGGTGGTTGCACCAGCCTACACTCACACCAACAGAGGAGAAGTGTTCCTTTTTCCCCACAGCCCCATCAGCATTTATTATCAGTTGATTTTTTGATGATAGCCACTCTTTCTAGGGGGAGAGGAAATCTCAATGTTGTTTTAATTTGCATCTCTTGAATGACCAATGATGTTGAACATTTTTTCATGCATTTATTTGCCATTTGTATTTGTATTTCTTCATCTGAGAAGTCTGTATTCATCTCAGATGCCCAGTTTTCGATTGGGTCTTTGAATTTGAGGGCTCTGATTTTTTTCAGTTCTTTATAAGTTCTAGATATAAGTCCTTCATCTGAGAGACAACTGGCTATAATTTTTTCCCCACTCTGTGGGTTGTCTTTTCACTCTGTTGGTGATTTCTTTTGTTGTGCAAAAGCACTTTAACAAGGTGAAAACCCATTTGTTGATTCTTTGTTGTATTTCCCTTGTGGTATATGTTTTGTTAGTGAAATCTCTGCCTGCACCTGTGTCTTGAAGGTTTCTCTTCCAGTAAATCCAGTGTTTGTTTTAATATTTACATCTTTGATCCATTTTGACTTTAGTTTAGTGCCTGGTGATAAACACAGGTCTAGTTTTAGTCTTCAGCATTTAGAGAGCTGGTTTTCCCACCACCATTTATTAAAGAGGCTAACTGTCTTCCAGCGAACATGTTTGGTCACAGATAAGGTGGCTGAGTGTATTTATAGTTGTGTCTGCATCTTCTAATCTGTTCCTGTGATTCTCAGGTCCCTTTTTTTTTTTTTTTTTTTTTTGCTAGTACCATGCTGATTTTATCACGGTAGCTTTGTAGTATAGTTTTAAGTCAGGGATTGTGATACCTTCTGCTGTGCCTTTGTTACCCAGGATTGCCTTTGCTATTCTAGGTGTCTTCTGCTTCTGGATGACTTTTAGGAATGTTTTCTCTAGTTGTGTGATGTATGTTAATAGTATTTTGATTGAAATTGCATTACATCTGTGTCATAGTTTTGTGAGTATGGTCATCTTTGCAATGTTGGTTCTTCCTCTCCATGAGCAAGGAATATTTTTCCTTTTTCTGATATCCTCTTCAATCTTCTTTTTCAGAGTACTGTAATTGTCAGTGTATAGCTCTTTTACTTCCTTTGTTAGATTGATTCCTAAGTATTGCATTTTTAGGATGCTATTGTAAAGAATGTGGTTTCCCTAATTTCTCTCTTTGTGAGTTTGTTGCTTGTGCTATTGATTTTTTAATGTTGACTTTGTATCCAGCTATGTACTGAATTTGGCTAGTAAATCTAGAAGTTGCAGGAAGTTATCATTATTTGCAGATGATGTGATACTCTAAGTAGAAGATCTCAAAAACTCCACCAAAAGACTTCTAGATTTTAGTTTTTTAAAGTGTTAGTATTAACTATCTTCCTCTTTGGCTCTACTTTCCTGTTGGGTATTTAAGACTGAGTAGATAATCAGAATTAACCTCTTTTCTTATTCAGCTTGGTCAGGGCTGCTCAAGGTTACTTTCAGGACCAAGTGAGAGTCTTTCAGCTGTCTTTCCCCCATATTCTTTTTCTTTATCAGCTTTGTTATTTGCCAGGATAGGTCATGGTTGTGTGTGACTACATGGCTTCCCTTGGAAGTGTGGAGATGTTCTCTTTTATGACCCTCCTTTTTCCAGAATGCACATTGGCTGGGCTGGGTTGGCCTTTGGCCTCTGGGAGGGTTCCTGAAATTTCCCTACTCAGGAGATTGTGTGACTCACCAAAATTACAGGTCCCTTTCAGAGGGGTCCTGGCTGAACTTGAAGGGAAAAAGATAAAACATTGGCTCTTTTTTTAAGCCCTTTTACCTTTTTAACTTTGGTCTCTAAGCCTTGGTTTTGAACACCCAGAAGCTCAGTTGCATCAGTCTTAATGTGGAGCCTGGAGACCTAATATGGAATATAGTAATTCTTGGAGGATACTGGAAGTTGGTTTCATTATCTGTCTGTCCTGTATGTTATAAGCTATCATCTTAAAATACCACTCAGGTTGTCTGCTAGAAGTCGTATTTCTTCAGAAAGTTAGCAGACAACAGTCTTGCAAGGAAAATACAAAGCAAAATTATT